GTCGGACCTGAGTGGAACTATTGACTAGTCAAGACTGTATCGCTCCCCTGGTCCCTACTCCCTAATAACCTTTTTCATGACCTTGCCTTGAACATTTTAAATAAGAGTTTTCATCCAAGGCAAGGAATTGTGTATTGTAAATGTCTTTTTGTATAAAATAAGAAATGAGCTGCTACCTGAATATGTCTGTGATAAAGTAAAGTATTTTAAGAACGTTCATACTTATCAAACAAGAAACTGTGCTGATTTTATCCTAATCGATACGTATTGATCAAACTCAATGTCGAATTCTATTCTGTATAGAGGACTCTTCGAATATAATAAAATGCCAAATAATATAAGAAACTGTGATAACTTTAACAACTTTCAATCTTTGTTGAAGGAATATGTTGTGTCCAAATTTTAAATACCTATTTGTAAATTGTTATATTATTGTAATATTCGAGGGGTCAACCACTATGCTTACAAATGTACAATGATTTCCATATTGGGCAATCACTGATCTCATGTATTCCCATCCCGAAAATTGCGACTGATTGCCAATGATCTTCAGATATTTTTGTATGATTACCAGGTAATTTCCATTTTTTCTGGGTATTCCTATATCATTCCCAATTGATTACCTGATTTCCTCAATGATTTCCTACAATCATCCGATTTTCAAATGATTTTATTATGAAAACGATGTCTAGATGTTAAGCTTCGCATTGATGTGACCAAAATAAACAGTCTTTTCTCTTATAAAAACACGTTTCACTGAAAAATTGACAACTTCTGTTTTTGCAACTCTTCCAAAAGTTAGCAACTTTTATTTTCATGGTTGTCCACAGCCACAACGATTTTTTTGTAGGATGTCTATGGTATAAATATAGTTGTTGAGTCCTAGATACCATTGCGTGTCTAGTGACTACACTGCATTATATGGATCTGAAATAATGGATATTTCTTTGATTTCACTAGGATGTTCATGTGAATCAGCGATACCTTCAGTTAGGGTTTCACTCGACAAACTTATTTCTGATTCTGGTTCAGATGTGCTATCGTCCCTGCTTCTCGCCCTGCCTAGTTTTTATTCTACTTTCCCTTTCCAAGTTCTTATTGCCCTGGATTCCTGACTTTTTCTCTTGTGTCTTTTTCTGGGATATTCCCATAGCTCTTAATACTCGATCGACAAATATCCTTGCTTCTCCGAAGGAAACCAAATTAAAGTTGAGCCCTGAATAATCTCCCAATTGTAGCGAATCGCAATTGCTAAACCCTGAAGTGTGAAGAAATTCTGTCTCTTCTTTTGGCAAGTCGGATTCGAGAGAAGTTTCATGATTCATGTTCTCATTTTTATGATCTACAACATTGTCCTACTTTCTGTATGTTCTTACAGGAATCACAAACCAGTCAGAGCGAATTTAATTGGTCGAAAATATTCAGAAAACTGGTTGTTGGCGATTTGCGCCAATCAAAAACGCTCTGACTGATTTATGATTTCTGTGAGAACCGACCTTCTTCATCTCGTTCTTCTTCTTCTCCTTCAAGTTCTAAACTCTTCTTAGTCTCGGGTTCAGTAATTGGCTCAGTTATTGGGAGACTCGTTGGGATATAAAATTCATTTCAAATTGTCTAGCACTCAATGTTGCCTAAAACTTAGTCCTATGGCAAATACACAACTGACCAGTACGCTGTATCGTTTAAAATGTATGATATGCGATATCTGGGTTAGAATGAGATGATATTCCCAGCGATTACCACATGATTCTCAGATTCTCAGCGATTGCCAATGGATTTCTATGTGATTCCCATGGAGTCCTAGGAGATTCCTAGCGATTCCCAGGGACTCCCAAGTGATTTCCATGTAGGTATTCCTGATTGATTACTATGTGATTCCCAAAAAAATGTACAATGATTTCCACTAGTGGTTTATCTCTCGGTATTAAAAACTAAATCTAAAAAGATAATGTGTATATAAGAGTAGGTATATAGAGTATAATAAAAATAAAAATTTATTTATGTTTATTAATAAATAAATAGTTTCAACAAACAAAACAATAAATAAACAGTAATTTCTAAAAACAAAAATAAAAAACATAAATAAAAATAGGTTTGAAGAAAAACAGTCTTGAAAATCCCAAAAATTCTTTATTTATGTACTACCGGTTTCGAAGTTTCAACGCTTCATCTTCAGGTATAAAAAGACTAAAATTGAAAAAATACCACAATGAGCACCAGTTGTATTATTTGAGTTGAATCAATCAACCTCTAAACTTGGTTATATTAGTCTTAATATCTTATATCTATAAATAAAAATATTTGATAGGTAGAGGTGTAGATAAGGTACCTACCTGTCTATTACCCTGCCCCTTAAACTTAGTAAAGAGAAAAAAAAACAAGTCAAAATAAAGTAAATAATTCTTTTGTAAAAAATGAAAATATTACTACTTATATATAAAAAAGAAATGATTTTCCGATTTTTTAATATACCAGCTTTGCCGCCTTTTCATTGCCAAGTCGATTCGTCAAATCATTATGGCAGATTATAATATGTATGTTGAAAATATTCTCTCTACCCCAGCCGAGGATGGTATTGCAGTCAGAAATTTCTTAATAATTACTAAATCCTCTTTGGTTATCCCATTAATATAAGTGTATGTATCAAAATAAACAAATATATTTTCAATTTCTAAAAATCGATTTAAATCATTGATTTTTTTCAAAAAAATCACTTGATTTAAATCATGATTTAAATTGTGATTTAAATCATTTGATTTAAATCATGCCAACCCTGCTTTAATAAGTACTTACAGAAAAACCTATAGGCAAGTTATAAAAAATGCCAAGCAATACTATTATAGAAATAATGTGAGAAAAGCATGCAAGAAGACTAAAGAAAATTGATTAATAATTAACAAACTTGGCGTACTTAATTTAATGAAGGCCAAGCAATACCCCATTGATGTGAATGGGTTGAATCAATTTTACTGTAGCAGAGAAAATAACGAAGGATCTCAAACCTCAATTTGGTCCACTATCTTACACCCAACTCATTTCCATCAAATATTCATTCTACCTTTCTCGAACAGATTTTACATGAGATTAGGAAAGTTTTACACGAAGTGAACAACAGAAACACTCACAGCAGAATTCTCCAAAGTCTGCCAGACGAGGGATTAGTTCCATGGCTTATGCCATCAATGTCTTTTTTGTTGTCTGTTGAAACTAAAATATTTTCCTTAAATCTTAAGATGTCCCCAGTAAAGTAAAGCGTTGGATTGTGTGAATCATGATATATCGCTTGGCAAGCTTTTCCATTACGGGTTTAGAGGTGTTATTCTGAAGTGGTTTAAATCGAGGTTTAAATCCTTCTTGTTGGATAGAAAACAGACAAGTTGGGTCAATGGGCATTTTATCGATGTTCAATACACCATGGTGTTCCACAGGGCTCTGTGCTTGGACTCATTTCATATCTTCTGTATAACAACGACCTTGCACCTCTCTCCATAAGCGATCGATTTACAATTTTTGCAGATGATACAACTGTCCTGTGGTCTCACAACGAGTATGAATCCATGATGAGAGTTATATCAGAAGATTTAGTAGTGATTAAGCAATGGTGTGATGCCAATCTATCTTTAAATGTAAATAATGCCAAATTATTATGTTTTAAGTTTGAATCCAAATAAACACACAAGACAAACCTTTGGAAATTATTAACTGTAACAAGTTCCTTGGAATTAATATCGATAGCAGGTTGAAATTTCATGGCTTTAAGACAGAAACTAGCTAGAGGGTGTTATGCTGTTGATGTTGATGTTGATGCAAATGATTCAAATGATACCTACTGGTCCAGAGGCTGCTAAATTAGCATACTTTTCTCCTGTAGAAAGTCATATGCGCTATGGAATTGCTTTTTGGGGTTGGCATCATAATAACAATTATTGTAGCAAACCATATAATACCAGGCAAAATTTTAACATTCCAGGCTCTGTAAATAATGATTTTCAACCATTTGCCAAATGGCAATAAAACAGCACAAATGCTGATGCACTTTAAGAAGTCAGTTGTGGCACTTCCTAAATGTGAGGCGTTTTATAATTTGACTGAGTATTTTGATAGCAACTGGGAGTAATTAAGCCAGTACTAATTTTTAATTTTGAATGTGTTGTATTTTATTGTATTCGAATTATTGTATAGTAGATGTCATAGAATTACCTACTTTGTGTGACAAAATAAGAAAATCCAAGCGAAAATATATCTGAGATCCGAAAAAATTTAAAAAGAAACTTCCTTTTTGCTCGCATACTTAGGGTATGTAGTTTTTCTATTTTAGATTGCTGTTAAAGTTAATGTTTGCTTGTAGGAGGTTGAATAATCCTAATCCATTTCTCACCTAGCCTTCAAATATGAAGGGGGTGAAGAAAAACTTTTTTTGATGTTATTTATCATAATTCGGGTACTTTCCTCATCGTGAAGGGTCGCGCCAGATCTTGCTTTACCTTCAACTTCACCTCCAAATACGAGTGGAGAAGAGGTTATTCAACCCTCACAAACCGAAATTAGCGCGAATGTTTCAAGTAAATTTCCTAAACAAACATTTCTTTCCAAAAGACTTCTAGGTATAATTTTAATACCCATTCAATGAAATTGAGCAAATCCAAAAGTATTCTTAACACTGTCCATAAAATATGTAATTAGCTCGCATGTCATGTAAGTCACCACTACTGGCGTGACTGTTTCAGTAAGGAGTACTCGTTCAAGTAACATTTCCTAAGCCATTTTCATCAAAGCAATCTTAAAACTCTTACATCCTCCATGTCCCTTTAAATCGATCAGAGATCAGACTTAAATTCTTTGAAAATGTTCCCCTCGAGGTTCACCTTGTGTGTCTGTTAAAAATATTCCAAGCGTTGTTATGCGTTTTTCATTGGTTGGTGTGGGCATACCTTTAGGTGATCACTATCCCTGTTTTTTTTTTTTGCTGCTAATTTGATACCAATTCTCTTCTTTTCCAGAATTGTTTCAAAATAACTTATGGTGAAAATCGAGCGTATTTTTCTGCTAGCATGGTAAGAAATGTAGTTGATGACGAATCAATAGGAATCAATTCTGCCTATGCAAAACTCATCGGAATCGAGGAAAATACATTTGTTAATGTATTACAAGTGCAACAACTGCCTGTTGTCAATAGTATAAGCATACAGCCGTTTACTAAATCTGATTATGATGTTTTGGTAAGGATCTTTATAAACTTACTAAGTAAATACGTATCTTTGTCTTTCTCAAAAGGAAATGCTATCTCAAAATGTCCAATCAAATCTTCTTGACCAAGTAAGGGTGATTGATTCTGACCAAAAATTGATAATCTGGGTGGGAACCAACATGACAGTTCCTGTAATTGTAGGTAAAAAATTTGATGTGTTTTAAAATGTATTTTTGTTACATACATCTATATTGTTCTAGAAAATGTTAAGCCAATTGCTCCAGGGATTTTGGATTTTTTAACAGAAGTCATCATAAAACCGCCCAATAATGTTGCTCCAATTAAAAATATTTCTGATAAAAAAAAGAATCATGTCCCAGATAATACACTTTTAAAAATTTTTGAAAACAATTCTCAGTTAGAAAAACCACTCGAAAGTACAGATGAGGATTTAAATTTTTATTACCGACTATTTCCGATGTCGGAATTACCTTTGAACATTCAACAGGGCAAAATTTGGCAACCATTTGAAGCTTTTATAAGCAAAAACCCTCAGATATCTACTAGCGAATTCTATAATATGAAGCTTTTGAATAGTCCTATTTCTGATAAACAATTATTCATAAAACTGAATTTTCTAGAAGATGTTTTTGGTATATCAGATCACATAAATATTTTTGTCAATGATCCCCTAATAAATTTTATGCAAAGTGATTACGGTGCCAGAGTAGTTTTAAAGAAAATAACAAAAATGCCTTATGTAAAAGAAATTGAAGTACACAGCAGAAAAAGTTACTTGATTAACATTGTAGAAAAGCTAAAAATTTATCTTGCACAAAATTCCAAGCCCCCTTTAATCCTGAACAGCGATTTCCCTATAGAAATCAATAGTAATCTTTATTGTTCTTTAAAATTTATGCCAAATTCAATTGATTGTTGTGTTGTTGATGAAGAATTTTTAAGAAATTGCTCCTATAGTTTGCATGATGAGTTTGTTAAGCCTTTGGATAGTTTAGTAAAGAAGGATTACAGTAAAATGAGATTTTGTGAAGATATATCTAGTGCCAAAGATATCTGTGATAGTATATTTTCTGTGTATTTCAAGCATAAGGTTTTTAGGGCTGAAAATGTTATTCTATGTGGTAAGGATTTATTCAAATTTGTTAAATATTATTGATAATGAATTTTTTCAAGGTAAAGTCGGTATGGGTAAAACATCACTCCTGAATCATATAGCAACAAAATTGAAATCTTATCCCTATTTCATCAATACAGAAATGGTACAGTGTAAAAAAATCAGAGGAAAAACTGTGGACTCTTTTCATAAATTGTTTACTGGTATTTTGGCCAAACTTATTTCCACTCAACCGTCTGTGATGATTTTGGACGATTTGCAAGTTTTGTGTGAAAGTTGTGAGGGAGAAGAAACACCAAATTCCATTTATTATAACCGGTAATTGCAAAAAAAATCTTCCAGGAACAATTTTTTATGTTTTTTTTTGTTTTGTTTTATAGGGCCAGTGAAATGCTTTACAGCTTGTTCTCATCCATTCTACAGCACAATTCAATAGGCATTCTAGCCAGTACAGATTCAATTTCAAAATTGAACAAACAGATTTACAGATCTAGGGGAAATCATTTGTTTAAAAACGTGTTTAACATAGAAGATCTTTCTAAGGTATGCTCCACTACTGGGACTAGTTGACCCCTTCAGAAAAAAACTTTTACTTTACTCAATTCATAGGGTGAAAAATTGCTGTAGAAGGTGATCTGAATGGCCCATCTATTACTTTTGTTAATATATGTATAGGTGTAATACCATAATGTTTTAGTCCGATAGGATGGTATTATGGAAATACTGTCTTGAGCAGCATAATGTGGACGAAACTGTCGATTATGAAAAACTTGCTATTAAGACTGATGGATTTGTAGTTCAGGACATACAAGATTGTTATGAGAAAAGTCTTTTTGAAGCCTATAAAGGTAAAAATTAGGATACATTGTACAAATATATTATGTATAACATCGACTGTTTTTATTTAGAAACTCGTGATCATTCTGAGCAAATAAAAATTACCCAAGAACACTGTGATTTGGCCTTAAAAAAATCCTGCTCACTTTCACTACAAAATGTGAAATTTCATTTGCCTGGCACTAAATCTTTTGAGGACATTGGTGGTCTGCATAATGTTAAGAATACCTTGGTTGAAAGCCTACTATGGCCTGTCAAAGTAAGAAAATCGGAGCTTAATATTCACATGTTTAAAATTCATTATTTTAGTATTCCTCGATATTTGCTAATGCCCCACTTCGACTCCAATCTGGCATCCTCCTCTATGGACCTCCAGGTACAGGAAAAACTCTTTTAGCGGCTGCAGCTGCTCAACAATGCAGTTTGAGGCTAATATCTATTAAAGGACCGGAATTACTTAGTAAATATATTGGGGCTAGCGAGCAATCAGTGCGGGATGTTTTCGAAAAGTACTCTTCATATTATGGGATTGATTTTTTTGAATTTTATTTTTGAAATTTCAGGGCACAAAGTGCTAAGCCTTGCATATTATTTTTTGATGAATTTGATAGCTTAGCACCAAGGTAAGTAAGCGTTTTCAAGCAAGCTTGAACGATTTTTCTGACTTTTTGTTTCTCAAGGCGTGGCCACGATAATACTGGTGTAACAGACAGAGTGGTGAATCAACTTTTAACTCAATTAGATGGCGTTGAAGCATTAACAGGAGTTTGTGTGCTGGCAGCAACTTCGAGGCCCGATCTCTTGGATCCTGCCCTACTGAGACCTGGCAGATTGGATAAGCAACTTTTGTGCTCCATGCCATCTCAAGTAAGAATATAGGAAATAGGTATCTAGAATAAAATTATTGTTGTTGAAATTTTAGGGTGAACGTTTGGAAATTTTAGAAATCCTTTCCAAAAACTTGGATTTTGAATCTAATGTAGATTTGAAGGAATTGGCCATAGAGACTGAAGGATACTCTGGTGCTGATCTACAAGCTGTTCTTTACACAGCGCAAATATCAACATTGAAGGAGTTTGATTATAATCACGACGTAAGTTGAAAATATGCAACAATTATCATATATTTTTTGTACCTACATTTATTATGATAATATGCATTTAATATTTAAATTTACCACAAAGAAATTACTAGAGAATTATCTTACCAATGGTATGACTGGTGCCAAAACATCACATCCTGAAGAGACATAGGCTTAAATAAGTCATTAGACTCAGCTTGTAATGTTTTGGCATTATTCATACCATTGGTAAAATAATTCTCTTGTGATTTGAGGCCTACACCATTTTTCTGCTAAAATAATAGGTTAATCACAATGACATAATAATTTCCAGGATCAAAAATCTTTACCGGTACTATCCAAAATAACTCAAAGGGACTTACTTGAGGCCTTGGATAAATCTCGACCATCTTTAACCAAAAGTGAGAGAGAGAAGTATGATAAAGTGTAAGTAATATCTTTAAAGTTTCTATGTGATATTAATAATCATTGTAATATTTCAGCTATGCTAAATTTCAAGGGGGAAATACTGATGACTTTCAGGCTGGATCCAAAGTAACCTTAGCTTAAGTTTCTTATGTTTTTTTTTTTTAATAAAAAATTGTTGATTAATTGGGATACATATATGCTGTATATTAAAACAAAATCTTAAATAAATAACTAAAATAAGACATGCATAAATAACCTAGTGCGTAAATTTGTTATGATAACAGTTCAAAGGCACAATTAATACAAAACTCAAAATATCAAAATAATAATAATACATAATTTGTACCTACTCCTTCGCATAAATTAAAGTCTTTGAGATGAAATAAAACTATGAAGTATCAATATTTCAATATAAAATCAATTAGGTATTGCAGGTCTGAAATATTTAACCATATTACATTAGGCCTGTTCAAATTGTACTACTTTGCTGTTGACTTCCTGTTTTAAGGTAACATCATTATAATCCTTCTGAAAAATACAAAGACGAAAAAATGGTTAAATCAAGACCAATGAAAACATCATTCATGTAGTAACTTCAAACAATAATAATAATTGATGGTGGTTTTGATCAGATCAGACATTGATTTTTTAACATGTTTTAGTAGTGAATAAACGTAAAAATACTTACATTGTTTGTTTTGGGTCTATGACTCATAGCAGGCAATATATATTTTTCTAAAGCCACTACTGGAGATTCAAAAGCTAATACCATTATTATGGATATTCCAAAGCTGAAAGCTATCACGCCCCAAAAGGTGAACAACTGAAAATTACCAGGGCATTAAGGTTGGTGCTGAATTGAACACTAGGGTCAACCATAAATTTTTTAGGTTTTCTATGATTTCACAATGTTTAGGATTGTACTTATTAAGCAGTAACTCTTTTGGAAAATAGGCGAAGTCAGCGTTAGATATTACCTTGGTGTAAGCCATTCTATTTCAACGCTTTACGAAGACTGGCAGAAATACATCCAGACTGGGAGGTGGTTGGAAGCCATGGATAATTGATTCCCCATTTTCAATGTTCTAAGAATGGTTATTAGAGTCCGGACATACAAAAAAAAAATTCACGTAGTTCGTGGCGTAAGTATCGGTATGTGTGGGTACAGTCAAATTATTAGAAAAGGTTACCGAATTCCGTGTAGCAAATTATAGTCTTGGTAATGTTGGAATCATTTTGGTCTAGTTGTATGCTTTCATGCCTCCTCCCTTAACCTCCGATAAACTTATTCTATATCATAACAATGTCGTTTATATACATAATCACAAAACATCAAAAAATTACATCCAGATCACAAGAGTGGTGTTGAAATTATAGAAAACCTAAACATGTAATGGGTGGGTAGTCCAGTTTTTCTGCACCTGAGTATACTTACAACATAAAATATGCTAAATTCTATAGGTTCTTCCACATTTATGCCCATGTAAAGCAAAAGTGTCACATGATTTAGAAACATGCTGTATGTGAATCTGCTCATCACTTGAAAAATTGGTAACGATAGAAATCTATTGACTATACCTAAAAAGCAAAAATATTTGCGATTACTTATTTAGGAACTGACAATATTGTTTAATTTAGACAGATGGGTCCTCACAATAATACTAATGCTAAAACTCCACCCAATTTATTAGGAATAGTTCGTAAAATAGCATACGCAAATAAGAAATATCAGCTAGAAAGCTTGATGAGATTTCTGCATATATGTTTTCCACTATAGAAAAGATGCTCAATTGCACCTAAATTTTTCTCGCCACACACAGGGTCACTTCAACTGATAATTTTGGGCTATTTAGTATCTAAGTTAGTTTTCTAGGAATATTAAAAAGTCCTTGCTATTTAGAAGGATAGTTATTATCATATAACAACTTGACTTGGAAGAACCTTCATGCAGCAAGAAAAATCTAAATCGATTCACACTCTCTGTTCGATTCAATTTATTGCTCAAAATACGTTTGGAAATTTCAACTTGTTTTCCAGGCTAAAAAAGCAACATTTTAGGATCTTTACCCTTTACCTCCATATCCAGAAGAACAAGCGGAAATCACCTAACAAATGCACAATCCCCATGCTGGTTTAGAGAGCGTATTATGAAAAGCATGCTCATATGGATAATAAACGTCACTTGTGAGTACTTTGTGTCCTGCAAAGTCACATAGGTACCAACATTATTGCCATACAGGCATTCCATAGAAGGACAACTAAGAACTAAAACAATAATTGAATTTTTTAAATTTACTAAATACTTGGGCATTTTATTACCTTGTTCAATTTGATAAATATCAAATTCTTCCCCTGTGTCATTTTAGCGAAAAAGTAACCCAAAAAACCTCCAATAAAGTAGGTTGTACCTCTGCATTGAGTCATTGTGTAATAGTGTTCCCAATGCGGCTATAAGTCACTGAAAAAAAATTGTAAAACTTCAAAAATTCATTTTCTAAAGAATACTTACTACTAGTAAACGAACCTAGCTTGGCGATTGCCCTGCGCAATCGAGTCAGAGAGAGTCCCAGTATAAGGCAGTTCTACATGAAAAGTAGAGTTTAAGCTGGCAGGAGGAAGCCAAGCTAAGATCGTCGAGTGTCACTTACCGAGTTCCTTCTGACAGCAATGAAGCCAACTGATATTTCCAGGTAACCACAGAACTCCAAATCATAGTTCCTAGGGCTGCAGCTCCCATAATCCCCAGTCCTATTTTAGGGTATTTTGGTAGCAAAAATAGAAAAATCGGAGATACGGCGTATAATTGAAAATCTATTGACAAATACCAAGTTTGTATGATGCACTATAATGAATTATGCATGTCAGGAAAATATGGTGAATATAGGAACTGCTTACAGTCTTTTCGCTAAGATAGTTCTGGGCATACAATAAAACAGTCCACCAATTTTTTTTACAAACTTCAGTGATAGATGATGCTCCTAAAGGATGTAGGGGACCATTGCCAATTTAATTTATAAGATATATTGAAGTTAAAAGTACTGGAATTATGGCAGGATTCAATCTGGAATTTCAAACTACTTTATTCATAATCATGAATAAAGAACAAGTGGACTTATCCCTGGATCATATTACCAAACTGTTATTTTCTTAAATTAACATTGATAAAATTCACTTCAGGCACTACTTTTATGTTTCACCATTGAATTTCTGTAACTTACCTTAGGTATCTGTGAAGATAGAATACCCAAAGTATTTTTTCCATTGCCATTTATTCCATTGCCATTCTGAGTCAAAATCAGAAAATTATAGACTATCAGCATTCCAGTAATCAGAAAAAAAGTTTCCACCGCGTATTGAGCGTTATTTCCAAAAAACATACTCTTCGTTGAATTTAAATACTAAAAAAATAACTCAAAAGCGAAAAGTAAGTTTATATTATTATTATATGTCTTTGGATTAACCTTCTACTTACATCCAATCCATTCAGCATGTTATCCATAGGAGTGCCCATAAAAGTCGATGCAAGATGTCCAAGAATCACATACATCATACTGAGACATTTAATACCATATAAGCAAGAAAATTCACCAGCATTTTTTTCAACCGTAAACACCTTCGTTCCATTTGTCTTTATGGAAAAAGCAGTTAGCAAGGGATGTTGTTTAGTATTTCTTGTCAAATAGTCATATAATGTTGAAACTGCCATAATGGCGCTCATTAAACCGAAAAAAGATCTACAATTATTCAAATCTATTAGCTAACATTATCTAGAGGTCCAGTAATTAATATTATTACAAGGTTAGCATAGCGCCTGTATCAAAAGGTTTTGTAATATCGCTTTTGGTTTGGCATAGAGCACCCCATGGTAAATCTGGAGTAACACTTTTCAAAACAGCAAATCTTCTTTCGTGCATTTTTCTGGAATACATACACCCCAAAAAGGTAATCCTGGAAGAAGTAGTACCAGTTCATCAGTTAATACTTAATACTTAGATATTTATTATAGTTGAGATTTTTTGAAGCTTTCTAAAAGGAACCACTGGTGGAAATTACGTAATTTTCTGATAATGGAAGAAAAATTCCTACCGATCAGACTAAAAATCTGTTGTCCATTCCCCATTCAGTCAAGCAAAATTGACCTTTCACTTCACTTATAGTGTCTTCAATATTGAGGCACTCCATGAATCTTCCCATGGAAACAACGTTGAACTCCATAAGGCCAGCTGGGATTTTTCCTGTTGACTTGGAAAAAGCATTCACCGACCACCTGTAAAAATCTAGAACTGTCTTCTGTACTGCAACTGACCGGTTCGTATTAGTCAAATCGAAAAAAATGGAGGAATGAAGGAGATTGACTGAGCTAGACTTATAATAATATAATAATAAACTAGTTTCTTTATCAATTAATCAATACATCTAAATATCATTCTAATTTTAAATGAAGATAAATAAACAATTTGGCCCTTAAGTAAAATTAATTACTTGTTAGGGCTGGACCATATACTAGCGGTTTCTTTTTAGCTCAGATTAGGAAGTCATGCGAACCTTTATCAGAAGTAAATTAAAAGCATCTTTGGTACCAGAAATTTCCCTGCCTGAGACCTACCAGAAATCACTCGTGGTTCCTAAATTGAAATATAAGGAAACAAACCGCTTACAGAAAGCAACAAACCAATCCGCCATCTGTAAATGCATGGAAAAAATAATTGTAGTGGACCTCACTACATGTTTTCTGGACAACCATACTATTCTAGATGAGCAACATAGCTTTCTTCCTGGATGGTCCACCATTACAAACCTCTCATCTAGACTACTAGGACACGTGTTGACAATAATGAACAACCTACGTCTACTGGGATTTTGAAAAAAAAAACTTCTGAGAAATTTCCAGTCGATAAGGCTGCTGATCGCCTTATCAGGACCTCTTTTAGTTTATTTCAGCGGGATCATTGATTCTGAGACTATATGGGACACATATGTAAGACCTCTGATATGGAATACGTTCATACACATTTAAGTATTGTTGGAGAGCAATGCAGAGATTATTGACCAACATGCAACAAGTGACTGCACAGAGATTTTCTGACCAACATTGTCGCGTATGCGTGGAATGGATTGAGGAAGGACAGTGTGAGAGCGATATCAATAAACAATTTTATAGACTATCTTTGATACGCAAGCAAATCGAGCATTAGAAATGAATGTGCCGTCATAAATAATAAATATACAGCAAAGTTCTTGAGCCGACAAGCTCTACTGTTTTCAAGATTGATCTCTTGTGACCGAGTTATTAACTCGGCTACACAAAAACTTTGAAGCTTGCTGCCATAGCCTTACACTTTCTAAGTCATGATTTTAGCTACACTGTTACTGGTACATACACTAATTCTAGTCATGCAATTCGACCTTAGCGCAAAATAAACGTGAATGAATCTTGATTTTATAAAAAAAATTAAACATTTCAAGTTCAATTCCTATTAAATTTGTTTTGTGTTTTCAAAATTTTCAACCAAATTCTAGAAAGCATTATAGCAATATTTTAATTTAAAAAAATTAACTTACTTTGAAAAGCCCAACCACTGGCTTTAAGGGCTTTCATAACTGTACTTTGTTCTACACCATCCAAAAAATCTATTCCGGCACTTGAAATATTATTCAGCACGTTTAATATTGCAGAGAATTGTCCCCAACATTCTTCACTCACCAGATTTGTTGCCTTTGGTGGGACAGTAGAATGTCTATTTTTCTCATAATGGCGTAAAATTTTAACTAAATCGTACCCACTACCGCTTTGTATATTAACTATACAAATGATAGCTATAATTATTACCACAAGTGTTTTGTGCATCTTTTGAAATGGACTGCGTAACACATAAATGTATGTTTGAAAAGTGAATGTTTCTAATTATTTCTAAGCTTTATGTTTACCTATTATATTTGTACAGAAACAAAAATTGATGTAAGTTAAACTTCATTAAACCGTATTGAGTGTTTTATATGAATAGATTAGAACCGATTAGAAAAGATTATTTAACTTCTAAAATCTAGTATTTCTACAACCAATCAATGTTTAAAAAAGGATTTCAGTTATAATGGTCCAATCAGGGACCAAATGTGCAATATTTTTGCAATATTTATACAAAACAATATCAGTCAAGAATATTTACACAAGCCTCTGATATTATTTATTCTAATTGTTTCGGGAACTGCTCCGGAGCTTTTCATAATACATAATAATAATCTCAGATAGATAATAATATCTAGGTACTGCCAATAATAAATACTACAAGTGTGTTGAATAAGTAATATACACTATACACTTTCATATTTCGTTTTCTGAAGAGTGAAAAATATAGGATTATAAAAGTATTTAAGCTATTTTAAATATACTGAGTACACTCTGTATTCCATGTGAAAGCCCTAGAAAAACTGAGGATAAAGAGAGAAATAATAGTACAAACATCAACTACTTAATTATACCTACTTATATATTTAATATTTGAATAACAAAAAAAATAAATAATATGTAAATAAAATATAATTGTCATGTAATAAATAAAAATAGCTTTGGTTATAAGATTTCTTATTGATAACATTGGTTTAGTCTTCAAAAAATTCCACGATAAGATTATTTCTTAAATTTAAAGCTCATAAAATGAAGCTGATATCACCAGAAAGTGCTTGAACACAAAAATCTAGATGAGGCACCAATGTTTTGTCCTAAATTTAATTTTAAAAAATCAAGCTAAAAAGAGGCTATTTCCTGAGTCATTGATATTTCTTATTTGGTGTCATTTTGTGCCAGCCTCTTTCCTCTTAATTTTTCTGTCACATTTTGGACACTTGTTTCTCCAGCACTTCAAATGGTAACAAGTCAAACATGTTTCGCACCTCGTCACTATCCTCATTTGCCATGGAAAAATTATTTCGTCAGAATTGCACAGTTCGCAAATGTAGCCTCTCGCTAAACACAACTATAACGGAACAAATAATTATTAGAGAAGAGGAAAAATAAAACAATTTTAGGAATGATAGAACCAAAGTCAGACTCACCTTACATTCTGAAGTATGTCGGAGACAAATATCGACCAAAAATTTAAGTTTAGTTTTCAATTCGCCATTTTTGATTTTCACAAGATCGTCTATAGAGTATTCGTCAGGTTTCGTTAAAAAATACGATGGTAAATCATGTTCCATTCGTTCTTGGGCCCTAAAATTAACGTTTTGTTTTTAAATAATCCATAAAACTCAGAGTAACATTCATTTTCAAAGAATGAAATTTGCATAGAGAAATTCATATCAGTTATAGTGAGTGATATTGGAAGTATTAGTGTTTGTGTTTTTGTTTTAAACAAAATTTATTTCAGTTTGGAAGGGTTAAGTAGTCTCACTTATCTGCCAACCCGCATACGTAGCAATAATTGCTTAATATGTATCAGGAATAATACCTACTAATTCTAAGCAAACAATTATTATTAAACAAGCTGATGCAACAAACCTAATAACAAAGGCAAAAATATTTGTGAGTGAAGTTTTTACAAACAGTAAACACTTTCTAGGTAATGTTTCTACTTGGTTCATAGAAAATAGACAAATGCAAATAAAACTAATCTCATATTTTATTTGAAAACTAACTAGCGCATTCATGCATTGGAAATTGGTAACATTAGATTAGTTGCATCTGATAATGTAACATTTGTAGGAGTTTTATTGAAAAAATCATAGATTATTCACATACTTAAAAAGGGTAGTGAAAAAAGTTAAAGTTTTGTATTAGGAAATCGGGGGAAAATGAATCACCCTGTTTATACTACTTACATTTCAGCAAAACGACAAGTTAAAATGTACTCCTTAATGTAACACAATCCCATCCGATATTTTCGTATAAATTCGATATTTTTGGAAAATTTTCTAATAGTTTTGTTCAACTCGAATATCCTAAACAATGGATCTCCGTACATTTGTTCCAGAAGTTTAAAAGAAAACGTCGACACAGGATACCTAAATTGAAGATAAAAAACATTAACAAAAAAATCAATAAATTGAAAATAAAACTGACCTACTAAAATCCCATTTATACAAAATCCTAGCAGGTATGACAGATACCTGATTTTTGTGACACCCTGTACAAAAATATTTGCCTAAATAGTTACAGTAGCGAAATCTAGAAGCGTATTGTGCAGCTACAATCATGCCACAGCCTGCACATTTGTAGTTTTGTTTTTCCATTAGGTCTTTCCGTCTAAAAATAAGATAACTATTATCGCCACTAAGTTAAAAATGAAATCCTTACAATGGTGAAGGTAGCAAAGTCAAAACAATTTGAGGCCTAGGTGGAGCCCAATCTCTGGTTCCTCTCAAATTTGTGCTCGCAGCTTCATGCTCGTCTGGATTTACAGGCCAACTTTTAGGTAATGGCAACAGTGCTTGCGGGACTTCCTCTTCTGAGACCAACCATTCCAGGTCGGAAGCCCTAATGATAAGATTACTTATTGAAGAGCAAAAACAAATAAACAACAACTCACTTTGGTAAATGTTTTTCATTAAATTTACTAATCAAAGACAAAGCAACCCCTTCAGCACTTAAGATATCGGATTGTATGGAAGCAACAATTTCTGAAGATCCATCGGGGGCTCCACGAGGTTTTCTCATAATATCGGCATCTGAATAGAGTGAGGCTAGGGACATTGAAAGTCCTCGATTTTCTTTCAAATTTGTGGATTCATCAATTTCTAAATCATCTACTTCCTCAGAGCTGCTACGTTCGGATGAGGAATCTGGTGGGGTTGAATTTGGACTAGTTGTTGTAGTAGCTGGAAACATTGCAACTGGTATAAACTAATTTGCGATTTGTAAGTTTAGTTAATGAATGATGGATGAATAAAGTAGTCAAAGAAAATTTGTAAGGGAATAAAAACTTTTTATGAGAGTGTTGCAATACTTCAATAATGATTTTTTTTTTTTTTTAAACAATACTACTTATGACTATATTTCTGGAATGGAACCACAAAAACTGATTAACCTGGTCGTAAGTGATTTGTTCCAATAAAACTTACTTGATGATGAATTTTTAGATCCCAGCTATCAAATTTATAATTTATTTAAAAAAATTGTTCCTACTTACTTGTACCCTTCCTATGACAATGTTTTACTAATGTTTCGAAATGTAGCGCTCACTGAAACTGGAACGGCCAGTTCATAAAATGGCCTAAAAACACTAGCCCAGATCTCGAGCCAGATTAAATGTTAATTCGAAATATAAAATTTTCCAACGTGACAGAGTTTTATAAAGTAGGTAGACCAACATACAAAATAATTGATCTATTAAATTGAAACTCACAAACTAGTTCAAATTTTATTGATTTGCAGTTTCTATTGATAATCAAAACCTCTTAACTGCATAAATCTTTTTATTGAAAATGAAATAGATCATCTTTATTAATAAGCGATCTAGCAAAGTTTAAAACTGCGAGTAATTTTGAATGGTAAGAACCGGTTTGATGCCTGCTTTGAACCAATCAAATGAAAAATCACTTACTATCAGTTTTCCCATCACTCAATAAAGCTCCTGACCATTGTTTCCATCGATTATCGATCAATCTCTGCCCTCTCCTCAACCTGATCCTCTGTTTCAAGTTCTGCAACAACTCTGGATCTTCACCAACGCTGCTATCATCACTATCCGTAACCATTTTATCCAAATACCCCCATTCTCTATATTGACACTTTAGCTTTTCCATAGCTGATATTATGGCTTCTGAAACACTAAAATGTGCATTTTCTCGGTCCAATTCAGCATTGCTACGCGCTAGTTTGCTGGATGTTAGATATGAAGTAAGGCTTTGGCCTTTGATGGGTTTCAAGTAGCTTTGACCAGTGGACATGGGTAAAATGCTCATTCCGCGGTCTTCTATGAAGCTTTTGGGTTTGTATCTGCTGTAGTCTTTTTCTCCTTCTAGGGGCATAAAAGTATACTCCAATTTTGATAAAGGGCTTTGCATGAAAAATCCCTTTTTTTCATTTTTGTCATAAGAAGTGCCTGGCGTAGAGTCTTCGTGGGTACTATGGCTACTGCTCAGTTGAGCAGTATGCTCAATAATATCACTATTATTTATGATAATTGGTTTTTTAGATTTTTTTGAGCTAGTTTTTGGTTGTAGCACTTTGTAATCGACTTTGAGCATACTTGGCGATATTTTCCTAGTGTGTAGTGGCGTATTCGGAGTAGTTTTGCTTTCAAAATGTACTTTTTTAGGGATCTTTATAGAACTATCTATTTGTAAATCAGGTAAGCTAGACCAAGGCTTGAGCTTACCAATAATTTTCTTCTCTTTAGCACCAGCATTTTTCAAAGCACCACTTTTAGGTTTAATAATTGAATATTTTAAATGGTTATCAGGGAAAGAAGATGACCTTTTATGAGCTTTTTGTGCAGTGGCGTTTCTGACAAACAAGCAGGGATTAATTTCTGATAAAAAAGTAGCCTGATTTTTTTCCACAGCTCTCAAACAAGTCAACGTAGCATCAGCATATTGTTTTTGACATAAAAATGCCCACGATTCGTAGCACGATTGCAAATGTGCATCATCTGATAATAGCCAAGACAGTTTCACACATAATGAGTAAGATTCTAGACTTCTATAAAGCCAAATGCAAGATTTGTCATTTTTCAAGGGGACTGGTACATGAGATCGGTACTCACAGTCTACAGCAAAGTAGGATTTGGAGGCTTCTGGATGGAGCCATTCTAGGCCTTGGATAAAGTTGTAGAAATAGCCTTCCTGAGGATAAAAAAGTACTTTTACAATCTATTCTTAAATTATAGAATATATCAGTAACAGTAATCCAGATATTCTGGACATATTATGAAGTTGTTAATGACATTAAGTGAAAAGCATACATTACACTTCTTCATAAGTTCTGTGTTCAGAATATTCAAATACTGCATTACATAAATAGTAGGTATCTTCTTCATCAAGATTAGATGTGATGTTCAGTTTGAATTTTGCATATTTGCAAAGTTATCTTTTGACAGGCTGCTATCTAAGTAAACACCAACGCTTCAGTAAGTAATCACTATATTGTTTAAAATAAAAAAGTGGTTAAATCCAGGTTTAATAAATATAATATCATTAGGTAGGTACTTAGTTAGGTACCAGTTGTTTGTAGATCCTTCTGAAATGTTACGATATTCTGAGAAGACACTACTTGATACATACATTGGTTAGTGTTCACCCCTCGGTTTACCTTTGTGTTTACCTCATCCAAGACCTCAACCTCAGCTTACATATTTTTCACTTAAACAAAATTAGGTAGATATGCTTATGGTACTTAAATAACTAAATTGTTAAAAGTTGTGAAAGGACAGATGATTTTTATATAATTTAATAATTTCTTGTTGGTAAATTCCATTATAAGACCGAGTATAAGACCAACTTTTCTCTCTTCATTTACCTATTGATATTTTTTTCATAGGTAATGATCAGAAGGATAATGATATGTTTGAGGTTACTTTTAAGTTAGTGTCGAGCGAGGGGGAAACCACCTTAGAATTTTGGTGTACAAACTGATAGAATTTTTTAGAATTTCTTAGAATTTTTTAGAATTATCAGTATTTTTTAGCATTTTTTAGTATTTTCTAGCATTTTCTAGAATTATTTAGAATTTTTTAGTATTGTTTAGAATTGGATTAGAATTTTTTAGAAATAATTTAGAATTTTCACCTATTGCGCATGCTCAAGAGCCTGCGCACTGCGCAATCTGTTGGGATCTTTGGAATTTTTTTTGAATTTGTAGAATTTTTCGAGAATTAGCATTTTTCAGAATTTTAGAATTATTTTTGGTGTAAAAAATTAGGTAGGTGGGTTCCCCCGAGCGGGAAACCTTCTTAGAATTTTGGTGTACAGGGTGATCTATTATAAATGTCACCCCTTTCTAACTTTTCCATTTGACATTTTTGACATAAGTGTCAAATACAAAAGTTTCAATAAATTGTCGAAAGTTTTAACTAATGGCGTTTCCGATTGGTAGATTCAGTGCGCACTGAGTGTATTTGCATCCTTTTAATCGATCTGTAGAAGAAAAAGTCAGAAATAGAAAAAAATGCACTAGTTCCGCACTAGATCTACCAATCGGAAACGCTATAAGTCAGTTTTAAACATACAGGGTGTGTCAAAAAAGTGTAGCAGTGTGAAGTTATATATTTTTTAATGGAACACCCTGCATATTGTGCGTTTATTTTTTAGTCCCTTTTAACATGATTTCAGCGATAAACGATTTGATGTCTATCTTCGATATTTATAAGGAAAAACATGAAAACTCCTTTCAAGGTTCCATATTGAAAAAAGAAAAATTATACCAGTTAAGCTTTAGAGAATTTTTTTATGAACAGTTTATTGTTCAAATTTTATTCATTAAGTAATATACAAGGTGAAATATTATATTATAATAAATCCAGTTATTATTATTATTTTTGAAAAAATAACATGAGAGAACTAGCAAGGGATTTCCGCGTTTTTCTCTATAACTATTGAAGATAAACAGAGATATAAACATATCAAACCGTATATCGTTGAAGTCATATTATCTGGTATGGTGCTGGAACTGGTAAGGGGACTAACAAATAAGCGCACAATATACAGGGTGTTCCATTTAAAAAAATATAACTTCACACTGCTGCACTTTTTTGACGCACGCTGTATACCTAAAACTAACTTTGTTAAAAAAAATTGATAATCAGGCCTATCGATGTATCATTTTCTGTTATTTTAACAGCAGTGTTAAGTTATCTGTCACTGTTTATTCTATACGTCAAAATAGGGACGGAAATAGATGTCGAGCCTCAACAGAGCCGTTAAAATAACAGGACAGGATACATCATAGGCCTGAATTTCTTAAAAATTTTGTATTTGACAGTTGACACTTCTGTCAAAAACGTCAAATGATAAAGTTAGCAGGGTTGACATTTATAATAGATCAGCCTGTACAAACTGATAGAATTTTTAGAATTTTTCAGAATTATCAGTATTTTTTTTCCATTTTTTAGTATTTTTTAGCAATTTCTAGAAATATTCAGTATTTTTTAGAATTGAACTAGAATTTTTTAGAAATAATTTAGAATTTTTATCTATTGCACATGCTCAAGAGCCTGCCCAATTTGTTGGGATTTTTTAGAATTTTTTGGGACAATAATAATATGAAAATTAGCATTTTTCAGAATTTTAGAATTTTTGGTGTACAGAATTAGGTAGGTGGTTTCCCCCTCGGTGTCGAGGTAGTAGGTAAGTATGTAGTTATCATTTCCTCTAGTGGGCTCTCAGAGTTCCCAAATAATAATAGGTCTGTTCTCACAGTAATCACAAATCACTCAGAACGAATTTCATTGGTTGAAAATAGCCAGAAAACTGTGTGTTGGCGATTTGCACCAATCAAAAACGCTCTGACTGGTTTGTTATTTCTGTGAGAACAGTCCTAATAATAGGCAATAGGCATTAAGGAGGTGAATTCCTGCTTTATTTTCTAACCCTTGGTCCCTTGCAGAAAAAATGAATGAATAATCCGCCCAGCAAATAGAAAATAAAAGTAGAATGACTTGTCTGTGCAACAAAACAACTTAAATTAGGTACAGATCGATGCCTAAAAGTAGATTCTTACCTGTGAAGTACACTTACACCCATGCCTAAATATCTTCTCTAAGCAGAAATATAGACGATTTAGGCCCCCATAAATTGACCAAACATTAGCCACTTGTGTGACTAGCAATCCTTCTACTGTACTTTTCAAATTTTGCAAATATTGTTGGTAAACGGCTGTGTCAACCATTTTTAGGTAATCCACACTACGTTAATATGATGGAATGTGCATTGTGTGGCAGCCTAAATGAGATTAAATTCATAATTTTTCAATACCTATTAATTTGATAATTTGGAAAACAGAATTGTTTTGTTTTGATAAGGAAGGTGTTTTGCTGTTTTGATTTTTGTTTGACATTTTGACAGTTGCTTTGATTGTCAGCAGTCAGACTACATTCGCACCAATTCGCACTTTTGGCAATTACTTCCATTATTTTAATGGATCTTGGGTTGTTCTCGATCATCAGTTGAAGGTCTTTTTACTCTTTTTGTTCCTTGTTTATCCCCTGACCCCGATTCAGACTTGTGAAAAAAACATCCTTAGATTACATGCAAATCACGAAATGCGACACTTGGAAGCAGGGACCCGGAGCGGAACGAAACCCTTTTTTTTTTGCGGACCGGAACCGGAACGAAACCCATATTTGATAAAGTGTGTTTTTTTTTTAAAGATAATTCCCCAAGTCAAAAATTTAGTAACTATGTTGGCAACACAAGCCTTTTCTACATAAAAAAATTTGAAAGCTTGACAATTTTACATTGTATTGCCAACATAATGTCATTTTGACTTTTATCTTTAAAAAAAAAACAAAAAACAGACTTTAGAAATGTTGTAGGGCAGGCAGAACCGGAACCGATATAAATTAATCGGTTCTTACCGGTATTTTTCGGTTCCAAGATTTTATAAATTAAGCTGTTTGATGTTTGGTTGTATCATAATAAAATTAACACTTTGAAAAACAGAGCGTTGGACAATGGACAGCGCGTATTTCTAAACTCGGCTAGGCTACATACCAAGGATTTTACATACTACTACAGGATTGCTCATCGGCTTCGATTTTTGGAATCAAGTTCATATGTTGTTGAACCGTTGCCTACGTCATCAACGGTCTCGTTAGCGGTTTGCGTTCGTAGTTATGATGAAAAATATAATTTAAATTTGATTAACATAATAGCCAATAGACAAGAGGAAGATGCAAATGAGATCTAAACAAGGGTTGTTTTAGAATATTAAATAATGTATTATGGTTCTAAACCGTTTCGAAATAAAATCCAATCCACGTTTTAAAACCATTTCCTCGTGCCGAGAAATTATGACGTCATCGTGAAACTGATTTAAACCAGTTTTGGAAAATGTTTCAGAACTTTGAGACGCGAGAAAACACCTCCTAATCCGTGGTGCAACTGGTGCAAGCACTACGTCAAGGCGAGAAACGACACGCTGTTAGGTCATCACTGATCGAAAACACAAAAATTTATTTTATTAATAGTAATTATTATGATTATTAAAGTTGTTGCAGATAGGCAGAGAAATCAAAAAAAAAAATAAACCACAAATTATAGAAACATAAATTTTTCTGTAATGACCGTTTTAAGTTTTAAGGGATGCTTCTCTGCATCTGCAGGTCAGTGCAAATGGCCATTAGATGTTTGTGAAAAACTATACCGGTATGAACCGTTAAACCCGAAATTATTGGTCCGAACCGAATCGAAATACTTCTCTTAGAACCGAAACCCTAACGGAACCGATATTTCATTTCGGTCCGGGTCCATGCTTGGAAGAGCAATAATATTCACATCTATGGGTGTCAGCTTGGCAACAGCGGAACGATATGTGCGACGTGGACGTAGCCGCTCCTCATCGATCATTTATTTCAAAAGTAATTTTACAGGAATCTGTTTGTCTTTGGTGATATCATTGTTGATATCATTGGGATATAGAAATAATTTCGCAAGGCTTATCCGCTAGGCTTCATTTCCAGGCGCAGAAGTCGTTTTTGTTACAGTGACTCTATTACCCACAGTGGCGACAATAGAAGATTTCATTAGAGCCGTTTTACACGGCAAAGTTTCTTTACGAAATTACTAACGAAATTGTTGCCGAAATATTTCGTAAGTCAACTTTTCCTGTTTTACACGACAAGAAAAACTTACGAAATATTTCACGAATAAACTTTCAAAAATGATCTATAGTTTTTGTGGGCGCGGCCGAAAATATGCGCGAGTTTCGACTCACACTAAAGGCAGTTTCTTTTTCGTGGAGCCTATGAATGCGTCATTGAATTTTCTATGCAATAGATAAGGATAGACTGCTCATCGGTGAAAAAAGTAATGCTCCCAAAAACAGCTGGGCAAATAAAAAACATAAAAAAAACTTTATTTATGGAAAGAAGAAACAAATTCAACTTTATGAAACTGCAGGAGGGTACAAAGATTCAACAACAATTAGAAAACGGAAGTTTTATTTGTTTTGGTTTATCAAAGTATGAGGTTATGATTTGATATTATTAATGGCAAAACGTAACTGCGCCTGCGTATGAGTAATATTTTCACGAAACTTTTGCTAGACTTTTATTTGCTGTGTCAAACAGGAAAAAGCGAAGCCAAAGAATAGTAAACTTTCGAAATATTTCGGCAATAATTTCGTGAATAATTTCGTGAAGAAACTTTGTCGTGTAAAACGGCTCTTATGAATGACTTTGGCAGAAAGTCGACAAATTAGGCATTCCAGGTCACGTGACTTTTGACAGGTCCGCTGGGGGGCAAACAAAGCCTAGATCAGTATTTATATTCAAAGGTATTTACACCGTTCTTTGAGATTGTGTTTCCGAATTTTTGCGTTCTTAAATTCTCTCAATAAGTTTTAAGTTGTTTTTGTGGTAGAATGGCTAACATTGACTATTATTCATCGTTAGCTAGTGATGTGAAATGTCGGTATGACCAAAAAATACAAATAATTGCCAATATAGATCCTTATAAACTTCTACCTAATGAGTTTACTTTAAGTATCAATGAGTTGCCAGAGGTTTCAATTTTGGATTTATCCGAATATTTGACCCACACCCCACAGTTACTACACAGGCTTGCAGTTGAAGGCGTATATAAAGGGTTATTCAAGTTCTGCTGGACTACCTAAAAGGTATTAAAAGTAAATATTACTTGTAGAAACAAACCAATTTTTCAATATAAATGTGTTTTTCTATTTTAACAAGACAGTCATAATACTTACCATTAACAAAATGTTTTGAACAAATACGAGCATTTTTCAGAAACGTTTCAGTTATAACTCTCCTTTTGAGGCATTTAATCCACAGATTTCGTCGTTCCTTTTTTAGCTCGTTTAGACGATTCCCTAGATCTCTTAATGCTGCTGGGATCCTGAAAAACCTTTCTTTCCGCTCTACTAGAGCACCTAACAACGCAGCAAATAGAAGGCATCTTCACAAAATAGATTGAAAATTCTTGGTTTAACATTGAATCAGGTTATGTTTGGCTTTTGTGTGCCCCCCAAACTAATATGGCGGATCGGTTATGACATTAACCTGGAATGCCTAATAAAGTCACATAACCTATAAATAGCATTAGGCATTCCTTGACGTCATTAAAACATGGAAAGCAACGTATTTGATGGACCTAATAATAGTCATCAAATACGTCGATTTCAATATTTCATGATAGATGTCCATTTAAATCCTATATATTAATATTTAAAAGTAACAAGAAGTTGGGAACAAAATGGCGGCGGGACCTCTATTGTCGCCACTGTATGTAAATAAGGTTTATTTAGCCTCTGTAGTTTTTGTTACAGTGCCTCTATACAAGACAGTGGCGACAATAGAGGGACTCATTTTTGATTGGCTACAGAGTATCCGCCTTGTTTTATCGAAAGTTATTTGTATTTCCCATTTGATCCTATGGAGATATATGCAATTTTGTGTTTATATATTTTTGTTGTTGTTATTTTATTTGTGCCTGTTATTGACTATTTTGTGACAAAAAATTAAAACAGAAAGAAAATAAAGATCAAATACATTATTAAATGAGTTCGACAAATCATGGCGGGTGGGCGGAGCTTAGGCACTAAAGTTATTTTGTGTTTACCATTTGATTCTATGGATATTTAAGCAATTTTGTGTTAATATATTTTTGTTTTTGTTATTTGTGCCTGTTATTGACTATTTTGTGATAAAAAAATTAGAACAGAAAGAAAAGAAAGAACAAATACATTATTGAATGAGTTTGACAAATCATGGCGGGTGGGCGGAGCTTAGGCACTATTGTCGCCACTGTCTTGTATAGAGTCACTGTAGTTTTTGTCATCTTTTTCGTCGATTTGCTCCGAAATTTTGACAGGCACGTGATTTGTAAATTGAAAGTTCATTGATTGAAACTGTCTTTTCCAGTCACGTGCCTGTCAAAATTTTCGGGGCAAATCGACGAAAAAGATGACTTCAGGTCTGTTTCTGCCAGTGATGTGCCTGTAGACAATGTCAACGTAAGCAATTGATTGTCTACGCGTAGACAATTCGAATTGTTTACGTGAGCATTTGTCTACACATTGTCTACATGCGACGTAAACAATAACTTATTTTGAAAAATTCGAAAAAACATATCAAAAGTTACTATAATATCACTATCACTTCGATACAAGCATTCACTGATTATAAAATATCAGAAAAACCAATAATAAAATAAAAATAAAAGGAAAGTGTGAGGTTAGAATTAAACGTCATTTATATTATTTTACATTGTTGACACGTTGTCTACATTGTCTACATTGTCTACACGTAAAGTAGACAATGAAAGTCTACGTGTAGACGCACATCCCTGGTTTCTGCCAATAGACCTATCTATTTTTACCTGTATGCGCGCGCAACACGAGGCAATGCATTTTTATTGGCTAACTAGTACAGGTGTGAAGTAATCCTTTTGCACGCTGGGCATCTCCTTGTCCTTGTTCATAGCCCGTGGTCTGACAAGGATAAAATTATGCTTGATATTCAACTTGACGTACCTTGACTAGTGATCGATTTTCAATTGTTTGTGTTTTTGATTGACAAATAGGTTGCACTTCATGCGGTTCTCCTCCTTCCTTTTTTATCCCGTGCAAATAATAAGAACGGATTGCTATATGTAAGTCTAACATAATTTGGTTAGTGATGCCGCGAGACGAGACGAGACGAGATTAGG